AGTTTGTCTTCATGTGAAGACCGATATTAGAATGTTAGAGCATCTAGATGAATAGATGTAAATAGGATCAAACGCACACTTTGAATCGCCGACAGGTGGTTCAATGATTTAAGCATTCGATCTCCAGCCACTAATCTTCAGGTCAAAACCCTGTCCAGTCTTATTCGGTTTGAGCAACCAGGTAGTATTACTAACCATCACACATGGAGTGTATCTTGACGCCAAGTATACGAACTTCTATCTGGTAAATGAGTTAGCAAATGAGAATGTACGTAGAACGAATCACGTATTCATTTTGAAAAACTAGTTCAATGAATTCTAATGATAGTCACAAACCACCTTTTCTAAGAAAACTTAACTAAATACCTATATTGTCGTCCACAAAGGTTGTAGTCCTTAATGTCAACAATGAGAATGTACAAACCTTTGTAAACTTATGTTGAATAGTGTAATGCCGTGCTTCACTAATCGTTCACCTCGATAACCGTTATAATACAAATCTCAACGGTGCATGAAATCAGAAGGCAAAGAGAAGCTGCAACTACAGTTTATTATCAAATGACGCAGACTACAAAGCTACAAGCACATGAGTAAGTATAAAGGAGAAAGTGCAAGCAATTACATAGGCAAATTTATAGCCAAATTGTACAGGGGAGCAACAAGAAAAAGCAAAAGCTAATAATAGGATTTATATGCATTCATATATGAGGAGGAGGATGAGTTATCGAATGATACTTAAGTAATCAACATTTTGGCTGGAGTGTCCTGTGCTCTAGTGATCATAACAGAACAAAGATAAATGCAAATTGTTACTATCCAAATGACAATGTCCGTTAAGTAAGTTAATAAAAGGGCTCAGCCATAATCAAAATTGGGTGTATAGGGTAGTTGCTATAATAGTATTATTTCGTTTTGTTCTACTTGTTCAATTCCAACTGTCAAGTTTTTCTATAATCCATTATCTTCCTGTGTCAGCAGTCATAAATTATATGGTGGTTGCCGTTAACGATGTAAGAAACAGAACTGGTAGTATTAGGATAGTTAAATCTTTCCTAATTCAGCAAGTGTTGTGCAACTATGATGAGCCCCATATATTAAAATATAACATATATACATTGACTTAATCTACAACAACATACTAACAATAATAATAATACGTAAATTGAACGTTAAATCTCGAAAGATTAGTCTTCGTCTTCACTATTAAGTATATATAAAAACAGTCACGGTATTGCTGTGCTCAATTCTGGTTAGCGTTTTTTTAGCGAGTTAGTTTTTCTACGGGAAGGGGTCGCTAATCCCATGCCCAATCCTCCTCCTTTTCCCGGGCTTGGGACCGGAAGTAACTTTAGAAGATCTACAGGCAGAGTTGCTATGCTCAATTACTAATTACTAATGAACTTATATAATCTATAGAATTAGTATAAAATTTTTTTGGGTTGCCCAGATGTTTAACGAATAAGTGCCCCTTAAAATTTATAATTTCATACATTACAACGGTTTCGGTCTTCTTACTTAATTACTTACGCCTGTTAACCCTTGTGGAGGGGCATAGGGCGCCCACCAGCATTCTCCATCCAACTCCGTCCTCCACAATCCTTTCCAGTTGTTATTTATCCTTTTCATATCTGCTTCTATTTCCCGGCATAATGTGTTCTTTGGCCTTCCTTTTTTCCTATTCCCTTCCGGATTCCAAGTTAGCGCTTGCCTCATATGCAGTTTGCTGATTTCCTTAATGTATATCTTCTAATAAACCTTAAATATCTGTTACTACACTCTAAATGTTTTTTTTTAAAAATTCTCCTTACCCTCACTTACCTCTAGGAAAGTACTCACAATCATTAGAACTCTATAAACAATTACAGAAAAAATTAGAAAAAACATAAAACTATCTTACAACCATCTATAAATCCATATGATCAACATCAAATGAATATACCATTGTATATTGTATGTTATGAACAAATATGTCGAATCATTTTAACAATTTATCAACCAAATAAAGAATATCAAATGGATGAATTATTGTCAAATTTAAATGAAGCATTGAAATATGCTGAAAAAGGTAAGTCTAATTGTTCTTTAATCAATAAATGGAAACTCATTGGGCAATTTACTTTGTATTGTTTGTTTGGATCTTCCCATTGATATTTTTAGGACTGCAACTGGTCAGTTTGTAATTGGCATATGTGAGTATTGCCTCGATACAGCCTAAATTCACAAGCATGGTAAGCAAAAATGGATAGTGGCTAGCAGTGAAATCCAGGACGCTTGTTTCGTCCTATTTGGGAGTCGTTAGGAAATTCAATGGTATATTTCATTATAGATTGAAGGGATTGATTATTTCGGCTAAAAAATCTTCAATAGTCTAATCGTCTACAACTGGTTGAATTCCCTATTCTGTCAGTCAGTCAGCTACAACGTAGTACCAGACGCATATATGTAGTTGCCACACCTAATTAGCACAACAACATGAACACTGAATTCATAAAAGTAGTTACTTCAATGGTAGTGATATATAAAAGAAAGATTGTGTATAAAGATATAGTACAAGAAGAAAGGAATTAGTTCGTAGAAAGAAAGGTATAAAGCAATTTTAATCTCACGGTTTAAGGGAAGACAGAGGATGTGATCGATTCTGAGCCATGTCACCTAGAGTATTCAACAATTGGTTACGATAGTCACGCGGACCCCAACCAAGTAGTCTGCATCTACCAACATAACTCAGATTAGAAGTTAGTGACTTCAAGCACTGATGCCATGTTTTGGTTTGGCCGCTCCTAACTCTCTTCCAACCATCCACTACTCTAGTCAACATTGCGCGTCGTGGTAATCGGTATTCAGGCATACGTAACACGTGGCCCAACCATCTCAGTCGATGAAGATTTATTACCTCATCAACTGATTTACCATCATTCCCTAATACCCTGTGTTTAACCTCACTATTACTTACCTGGTAATCACAGCAGATGCTGGCAATATTTCCAAGACATCTGTGATCAAATACTGATGACTTACGAGTATGCTCTGCTCTTAATATCCGATAAGAACTGTTTGACAATTTTCCATACATATTACTTTATTATTCGAAACCTAAATGCTTATAAAATGGGGATTATGTTAAAATTACATATATTGTGTGCTGGGAATTCTTTTCTGTAATTCACCAATATCGTATGAAGTAAAGTCAGTATTTGGTTGGGATCATGAACCGATTAATGCTAGATCACCACTGATACCTGGAAGCACTGAACAGTAACTTCGTCCTAGTACAGGACTTTTCAGCAGTGCTCATTCATGATACCGTTCTCGGGATTCGAACCCAGGACTTTCGTTTACTTGCACGAACGCTTAACTTCTAGGTGACTGAGTTGGCCGGTATTCAACGGTGTTAATGTGTAACCTCGACTAATCCATGAAATTGTTTGAAAAGCTCAAATTCAAAATCTAAATTTAAATGAATATTTCCTAAATACACTGAGAACATTTATTGACTACTTTCAATAGAATAAGACGTCTAATATTTATCATCATCAGAAGGGGGTTGCCAGATAAGTGGTCTATCGGTTAAGTGCTCTGGCGCGAGACTGGTATGTCCTGGATTCGAATCTCGCGAGGCGGGATCGTGGATGCGCACTGCTGAGGAGTCCCATAATAGGACGAAACGGCCGTCCAGTGCTTCCAAGTTTTCCCAGGTGGTCTAGCTTCAATTGACTCATGCTTTCAACTATAATATTTATCAGTAAAATATATATATTAAAAAGAATCTCAACACTTGACATTGACATAACACCAATATTTCGACCGTCAATCCTATCCAAACTTCTTCACGGTAGTAATGAACATCAACATATCAAGTTTAGGAAGAAATTAACACCAAAAAAGTTGCCAGGTCATGCATAAGTGTTAATTTTCGAAATGACAAGAAAATATGTTTCATATGATGTTCAAGGTATTCGTAGTGTAAAACGTAAATGAACGTGCGTGTACCTGTACTTTATTGGCAATTAAAATTCTTTGAAAAGATATAGCGTTTGTTTTCAACCAAGAATATGTTATTTTCGCTCACTGGTGACTAGTTTCGAGATGAGATTTGAAGAGTTCTAGTGAGAAGCTGTTACCAGCGCAGATCTACTATGTGGGATATAAGCCAGTTATAAACATCAGGAAATGGAAGATTGGTGAATAGCTACTTAAATCGGTTGAAGTTAGACATGTACACCATTAAATATCGACTCAGTGGTCTAAAGGTTAAGGCGTTTTTGCACAAATCCTAGAAGACGTAGGTTTTATCCCTAGTGGTATCATAGATTCGTAGTTTTAGGAATTCCACACTAGAAGAAAACAATTGCTCATTGCTTTCTGGTTTTATATGGTGGTCTAACTAAGACCACTCCATAATTTAAAATATGAAAATTAGCTAAAAGGAAAAAAGAGAAATATTAAAATTGAACCAGGTCGAATAGTATTTGGAGACAAAATGCTGAATTAGGCTCCCTATTTAGGTGGTTGAGCACGAGCGTAATTTCTATAACGATTTTCACTTAAGTAATATAAAATCATAAGGAGTTTTGTGGGGATTTTAGTAATTTTATATAGTTGAGATCATAAGTCAATTGAAGCCAGACCACCATCAAAAACCTGAAAGCGCTGGACAGCCGTTTCGTCCTATTGTGAGACTCCTCAGCAGTGCGCATCAACGATCCCGCACTCGCGAGATTTGAACCCAGGACCTACCAGTCTCACGCCAGAGCTCTTAACTGATAGACCACTCAGCCCGTATCCAACGGTTTTAATATCCCGCGAATGCGGGATGGTGGATGCGCACTGTTGAGGAGTCCCATAATAGGACGAAGCGGCCGTCCAGTGCTTCCAGGCTTTCTATGGTAGTCTAGCTTCAATTGACTCATGATATCAACTCTATATAATATGAAATCATCACAAAAATATAATAACTGACATATTCCATTCATTTTGTTGTTTTTAAAATTGAATTATAGCGGAAAATCAAAAACTTGTAGGATTATGCAATAAACAAATCAGTCAAGTATATCAGAACCATAAAGAATATGAAATGGCTTTTAAAGTATGAATTCAAAAAATTATGATCAACAATTTTCATTTTTGTTTATCAATCATGATTTCTAAAGTAACATTTCAATTTCGATAAGTAGATGTATTCTTATCAATCTACACATTATAATCATTGCTTTTAGGTGGTTGGAGGTGGTCACCAGGAAATTATATCGGGGCTGTATTGTAGTACATACCTAGAATATCTAAGGCACTGATACTGCCTATAGGATTCGAACTTGCATCACCCAACTCGACAGTTTGAGACATAACAATTGAGCTGATTAGAGGATAATTGATCTGAAAGACTAGAATATTTATAATCAATTGATCGCTTAGTATTGATCAATCTTATTTTCGTCTAGTCTCTTCATTATTGTGATCACTAATCAATGTGACTTCAAATGGTGTACACTATTACTTGCTTACTTACTTACGCCTGTTACCCCCAATGGAGCATAGGCCGCCCACCAGCATTCTCCGACCCATTCTGTCCTGGGCTTTCCTTTCTAGTTCTATCCAACTTTTGTTCATTCTTCTCATGTTTGTTTCCATTTCTCAGAGTAATGTGTTCTTTGGTCTTCCTCTTCTCCTTTGGCCTTCAGGACTCCATGTGAGGGCTTGCCTTGTGACGCAGTTGGGTGATTTCCTCAATGTGTGTGTTATCCACTTCCAGTTCTTCTTCTTGATTTCTTCCTCCACTGGATGGAATCTGGTTTATTCTCTCCCACAGTAAGTTATTGCTGATAGTGTCTGGCCAATGGATCCGAAGTATCTTGCTTAGACAACTATTGATAAACACCTTTATCTTCTTGATGATGGCTTTCGTAACCATTATAATGTGATTTTATATGGTTGGAACCATTAGTCATTGTTACATCACATACAAAAACGAGAACTGATTAGGCAATAGTACAATACATATATTTTATTCCAGTTGGGTTGATGATTTGATGGAATTAATGTAAAATCATATCACTTCAGTTTTCTGTATATTATCAGTTATAATAATGTTTAGCTGAATGCTAAACGTTTTCTCGGCCATACCAGGGTATTTGAGGGAAGGGGGCGGCCAAACCGAAACGTGGCATTAGTCCTTGAAGTCTCTGACTTCTAGTCTGAGCCATTTTGGTAAATGTAGACTACTTGGTTGGGGTCCGCGTGATTATCGTTTTCACAACTGATTGGTCACTAGTTGGTGGATCAATGTCATTAATACCAGGTCCTTCTTATTGTAGATTGTTGAAACAACTGGGTTGTGATTTAAATATAATTTTTGTTCATTTAACAAATTTCTGACAGTTCTGAATGAAAGGTAAAAGTTCGTCAGTTTACCTTCAGAATGATAGTTTTCTATGATACTTTCATATATGCTGATATGGATTAGAATAGGTTGCAGTATTACACTATTGCCTTCATTGAGAACTTTTAACAATTACTTTGTACCTTTTAGTTTTACAAGGTTGATTGAAACCTGAATAACTCGAAGGTAACATCTGTGATTGTCACTTTGAATGCCACGAGTAGTGATTAAACATGGAGGGACCCCAGTTCGTTCCAAATCTGAAGACACACGTTTTCGGCTTATGTTAACAAACGCAAAAGTTGGGTTCAGTTTTGTCTGTCGATTGTTACCACTAATAAAATATCTCTGTGACCTTTTTTATAATTTTTATAGAACCTACGTAGTTAAATCCTACATAATTCTTGAAACACTTCGTATAAGGTTCTCAGGATATTCATTCCATCAACCTACCTTTTTTAGGTGACCGCATCAATAGTCTTCTACCACTACAGGTAATCATTGTGACCAATCGATACGAAGTCACTTGATTAGGAATGAATATTTTTAAGCTATTGGATAGCAACATAAGAATTTTTCAATTTTACCTTTCAATTCATAGTTAACAGATGATCTAATGAATCACATTAAATAGTTCGGTCTATAATCTGTCTAATCGGTACAAACTATTAAACCACTTTATCATTATTATATTACGATTGGTAGAAATGTATATGAAGAGTTTCTATCATTACGCCAAATAGTTATACTTTGTATTCACAATCAACTACTCTATGTCTACTTCTATTCATGAGGATGACAAGGTGCTAAAATGTGGGCGTTGAACTTTCTTGTTTAACCTACTTCTCAAGTTAAGGTGAAAACTTTTGAAAATATTGTTCATTTGTATAAGACAAAAATTATTAAGGTGAGGTTTGAACCTGGTTAGCGTTTTTTGGCAAGTTAGTTTTCTAAGGGATGGGGTCGCTAACCCCATGCGCAACCGGCAGTAGCCCCCGGAGGAGCTACAGCAGGAGTTACCTGCAACCTAATAATTAAAATGTGATTACTTTGGCCACTAAGTGAGGGATTAATTTGGAGTGACATCTATAAAAAAAACCATTTTAGTCAAATCTTATTTGAATAGAATAAACGCTGATCTAACATTTTAAAAATCAAATTAGGATTGTCCACAATTTATTCGTCAACAAATCAACTTGCATAGTAATTACACTGTTTAATATATACTTATTTGTATGGGGATTAGTATAGATTGTACTTCTTATGGATGCGCACTGCTGAGGAGTCCCATAATGGGACGAAACGGCCGTTCAATGCCTCCAAGTTTTAATGGCAGCCTAACTTAGATCGATTTGTGATTTCAACTGTGAACATAATTCATTAAGCATTGATTGTTTGAATCTTCCCATCGATGTGTTAGGACTGCAACTGGTCAGTCTCAGTGGCCGAGTGGATAACGCGATGACGTTTGAAGCGAAAGGTTCTGGGTTCGAGTCCCAGGGTGAACATCAACTCTGAGATGCAGGTACATCCAGCTGACGTGTCCCAAATAGGAAGAAACGCCCATCTTGGATTCCACTGCTAGCCACTATCCATCTCTGCTTACCATGCTTGTTAACATAATTATTTATAATCATATAAGAAGATAACTAAGTTTTTCAAAATGTTTACAGCTCGCGCAACAATATTTCGATATCGCTGAAAGATCCAATGATATTTTGGAGAAGATTGAAGCATGTAAACTACTGGGGAGTATAAATGAAAAGTAATTCAGCTTTTGTTTTTCTTCATTCATTTATATATAAACGACAAAGAAACTCTATTCCCATACTTCGGATTGGGTTTCTTTTCAAAACACTAATGATAAACCGCAGCTTCAGGAAATTAACGATTTCGGAAACAAGACAATTATTAACCGATGGTATTAGACAATGTTTTATTTATATTCCAGACTGAACAAAATTTGCATTGATAGAAGATTAACTTAAAACTTACCCTAAGATTATGGGTTCGAATAGTTGTACCGTGGTACATGTGCACTACTAAGGTTTGGCTGAATAGGCCAAGAGAGTTGAGGTGCACTCTGTAACTTCTTATAATTTCACCCGAAGTTTGTGCTGATCATGTCGTTCAGAAGAACTATGAAAGCCCCACGACCAAACCGTTCAGCTCAGAGAACAAAGCTCCATCAAAATCACCCACCTTAGCTACAAATCTTCTCCACCATCTTAACAGCAGAAATAAGTCCATGATGACAGTTATTTGCAAAAAATACAAACATATGATTTTAGGTGGTTGGAGGCTTTCAATAATATGCAGTGGTTCGATGTTTGGTACTAACTGGCACTCACTAAAATTGTAGCCCCACAATCTTGAGAGAACTTGTGGTCTTTGGTGGATTCAAACCTGGATTACCCAACTTCTTATTATAAGATGTTACCATTGAGAAACTCGGGCTGCCACTGATCATAGTTCAAAATATCCAAACAGTGTACCGTACTATTTACAAATGATATTGAAAAGATCAAAATTTTACTTTTTTGTTAATACATTTGCCTCGAATCTGAAGATCTTCATTCAACGTACTAGACTGTTTACAGATCCGATCATTTTTTGTTCATTATGACTTGGTCCTGCTTACTGACTAGTTAACTCTCAGAATAACAGAAAACAATTCATAAATGTCGAGTTTCTTTGAGATTTCAGGTTATAAGTAAACAGTGGATTTGTAGTGTCGCAGGTTAGTCACCTACCTATTTAAAACAGTATAAGATCCGGCAAATCACTTGACACATGAATCATTCTAACTTTATTGGTTATTTGTAATACCTTCATACATTTGTTTTTACAAATACCTATCAACTGTATTGTACTCATTCTCATCCACTGATTATTAATTACATATCAATGCAACCTTCAGCATAATTTCTCCCTATATCTGTGTTTGCCTGTCGGTGTGTGTCTAAATCTTGGTTAAATTTGAACCAACAACGTTAATTAATGGATATGAAAGCACTCGATGCTTTTATGATGAAGTTGATGATGATGATGAAGAACGTGAAGAAGGATGATGGAGAAGAAGAATTAGTTTCTGAATCTGAAGAGGTATCATGAGAACAACGCAGTTCTTTTGGTAAAAAAATAGATATTTTTGATGAAATACCATATTCATCTGAAGCTTCTTCACGATCTCTTGAGGCTAAAGTCTCTTCACTTCGTTTATCACCAATCTGATATATTGAATAAACAGATTTAACTACAAGAGAGTTTATCATTACAATTCACCATATACCATTCTGTTCAAATGATAAATCAAGCCATATTAATTTCATACGCCTTTTACATGTCGGAAATGAAAAAGAAAATGTATGAGGCTACGCATGATGGATCGATAGATAGAACTAGTTTGATAATTGAATTACAGGTTACGAACATGCTTACAGTCATAGTTGAATATACAGGCATTTTATGAAGTAGGAGTTATCAGTCATCGTCCCATAAATTTGATCTATTAGCACCTGTATAAAGGCAAACAACTAGGGTAACACTGACTAAATGTAGTAAGTGTTTAAGTGCAATTTGACCGAAAGTTTGTTTGATTAAATTCATAATTAGCATGTAATGTATCTAGTTGGACAGTTCTATATAGGATGGAACGTCAATCCTATATTCCATTAGTAGCCATTATACAATCCTACTTAAAATGTCTAGTCTGTAATTTAATGGTAATTTCGAGGCAACTTGATAAGATGTAAATATACCAAAAGAGATAGATCTTTATTATGAACATTTAAAAGATTCAAACACTTAGAAATAATTTTAATAGTTGACTTCATGAATCAATTGGATCTAGACCACCATGGAAAACCTGAAAGCACTAGACGGCCGTTTTGTCCTATTGTGTGACTCATCAGCAGTGCGTATCAACGATCTCGTCTAGCAAGATTCGAACCCAGGACCTACCAGTCTCGCGCCAGAGTACTTAACCACTGAGCCGGCATACGATGGTGTTGATGTCTAACTTCAACCAATCCATGAATTTGAGCAACCATTCACCAATTATCTTCAGTGAGTTGATATCTCACAACAGACGTGGTTGAACTCCACTGGTTACTGTTGATAGGTCCTGGGTTCGAATTCCACGAGGCGGGATCATGAATGCACACTGACACTGAAGAGTCCAACAATAGGACGAGTTGTCCGTCCAGTGCTTCCAGGTTTCCCATAGTGATCTAACTTCAATTGACTCATGATTTCAACTATATATCTATAAAATTACTAAAATCTCCACAACCCCCCCCCTTATTCTGCTAATTCCTTATTCTCTTCTATTTTTTCTTTTATTGTTTAAGTTTATCTAAATTAGATGAAGCTGAACAAAATTACGTCACTATTATTGAATATACCAAATTACTATACAACAACAATCCAGGCAAATTAATTGAAGCCTATGAATTATTATCTAAATTTTATATATTAAATACAAATAAATATGAGTTAGCTAAATTAACTACTGAAAATGGTTTAAAACATACTACTGAATTAAATGAGAATGATAATTATTATAATCAATTAAAATTATGGTATGCAATATCAAAATCTAAATTAATTGAATCAGATTATATAAATATAATTATATCTGGACAATATAATTCGAATGATATGTTAAATTTAATTAAATGGAAAGATATACGTTCTAATTTACCATTATATGATAAAGATCATTTTATGAAAGTAACATGTAAGTTGATAGTATTATTTGGGTAATTTTTATATTTGTACGACACTATGGAGTTCCTGAGAAGGTTGTCAACATGATCTGGAATTCAACCGACGTTCATGGGGAACTGCTAATAGATATATTCCAAGTAAGGACAAGAGACAGACAAGGCTGTCTACTCTCTCTTTCCTTATTCTTCTGATGGTCAACTAGATTATGAAGACTTCGGAATACAATGGATAAGTTGGATGGAACTAGACTATTTGAATTTCACAGATGATCTGGCCTTTCTATCCCATATACATGAACAATTGCAGATGAAGACAACTAAGTGTAACAGCAGTCTCTGCATCAGTAGGCTTCAACATACACAGAGGGAAAAGCAAGATTTTCAAATAAAACACAAAGATCACCGAATCAGTCACGCTTGATGGAGAAACTCTGGAAGGAGTGAAAAGGTCTGGCGTATCTAGATAGCATCATCGATAAATGTGGAGGAGCTGATGCAGACACAAAGGCATGATTTAGCAAAGCTAGGACAACATCCCTATGGGACTCAAAACAACTGTCAACCTATATCAAAATGAGAATCTTTAATACGAATGTCAAGAGAGTCCTATTGTACGGAGCTGAAACGTGGAGAACTACTAGATCCATCATTAAGAAGGTACAAGTATTCATAAACAGTTGTTTACGTAAAATATTCAACATTCACTGGCCGGATACTATCAGCAACAGCCTTTTGTCAGTCAGTCAGTCAGCTACAACGTAGGACCAGGCACATATATGCATCGGTCCAAGTTGCCATACCTCGTCAGCACAACAAGAGGAACACCGGATTCATAGTAGTTAATCTAGTGTTGGTAGTAGTATATAAATTATAGGTTGTATATAAGGATATAGTACAGGAAGGAAGAGAGATATGAAGCAATTTTAGTCTCAAGGTTTAAGGGAAGATAAAGAGTGTATACACCTACGCCATTGTGACCGATTCTGAGCCATGTCACCTAGAGTCTCCAACAATTGGTTACGATAGTCACGCGGACCCCAACCAGGTAGTCTGCATCTGCCAACATGGCTCAGGCTAGAAGTTAGTGACTTCAAACACTGATGCCATGTTTTGGTTTGGCCGCCCCTAACTCTCTTCCAACCGTCCCCAATACTAGTCATCATAGCGCGTCGTGGTAATCGGTGTTCAGGCATACGTAACACATGGCCCAACCATCTCAGTCGATGAAGATTCATCACCTCATCAACTGATTTACCATCGTTCCCTAATACCCTGCGTCTAACCTCACTATTACTTACCCGGTTATCGCAGCAGATGCGAGCAATATTTCTAAGGCATCTGTGGTCAAATACTAGTAACCTACGAGTATCTTCTACTTTTAATGGCCATGTTTCACAGCCGTAAAGTAGAACAGAGCGAACTGATGCGCAGTATACTCGTCCCTTAATTGATAGACGGATATCTCGTCTACGCCATAGGTGACGTAAGTTGGCAAAAGCCAAACGAGCTTTTTGAATCCGTGCTGAGATTTCGTCAGACACCAACCCATTAGGGCTGATCAGACTTCCAAGATAAGTGAAGTTGTCGACGCGTTCGACTACTTCACTTCCTATCCTTAGTTCGAGTGTTGACGCAGGCCAGTCCTGGAGTAACAATTTACATTTGGATGGGGAGAAACGCATCCCAAACATCCTGGCATTATTACTGAGTTCCAACAGAAGAATCTGAATTTTGCCAGCGTCTTCACCACACAGGACTATGTCATCTGCGTATTCTAAGTCGCTTAGTGGTCCCCCTGGTAGGAGATCAATTCCTGAAAATTCAGTCGATGAGAGTGTTATTTCCAGCAACAGGTCTATAATGAAGTTAAACAGCCTTTTGTAGGAGAGAACAAATCAGCTTCTAGCTGAAAAGGATATTAAGAAAAGACGCTGGAAGTGGATAGGACATATATTAAGGGATCACCAAACTGCATCACGAGGCAAGCCCTAACTTGAAATCCTTAAGGGAAGCGGAAAAGAGGAAGGCCAAAGAACACATTACGTCGAAAAATAGAAACAGATATGAAAAGGATGAATAACAACTGGAAAGAATCGGCCAAGACAGCATTGGATGGAGAGTGCTGGTGGGCGGTCTATACTCCTCCACGAAGAGTAACATGCGTAAGTAAGTAAGCAGGACGATTTCAATAAACTATTCTCCATGTAATAACTAACAAAATGAGTAATATTGTTGTATTTCTTTGTGAATGCTTAACAGCAAATTCTCAAACTCTGTTATCGTATTCGTTACAGAATCATCAGGTCATGCAAACTTGACTTTTTCGAATTTCTGAATAATACACTAGAAAGCCAGATCAGATATCACAAAAAGTCTTTTCTTTCATTTTTGATTCAAAGCTAAATTATTAATTATATAAATAATGAAGTTACCGCTCCATTTGATAAATAAGATTCGTTCAGAACTAAAGGCCACACAAAAATGACACTAGTTACTATTTATTGATTAATCAGTTAGGGGCAGCCAAAACTAACTTCTAGTCTGAGCCATGTTGGAAGATGCAGACTACTTGGTTGGGGTCCACGTGAATATCGTAATTAATGGTTGGAGACTTTAGGTGACATGGCTCAGAATCGATCACAATGGCGTAGGTGTATACACTCTTTATCTTTCCTTAAATCTTGAGATTAAAATTGCTTCCTAACTTTCTTCCTTCCTATACTATATCCTTACATACAATCTATTTTTAAATACTACTACCACTAAATTAACTATTTCTATGAATCTGGTGTTCATTTTGTTGTGCTAACGAGGTATGCATAAATGTGCCTGGTCCTACGTTGTAGCTGACTGACTGATTAAGCAGTTGTAAAGACTGGAAGTTTGTATATGATGATTTATTCGATAGACAAAGAATTTACAGCACAAACTAATATATCACACATATATAATTAATCAACAATATAAAACTGTGTTGAGATTTTGAACCTTTTCGTCAAAAACATGCTGACGAATTGATATGAATTAAATTGAATGTATTTTAATACAACATTACAGAATATCTTGGTAAAATCTGAGATCTATACGGTAAGCACTTCATTTGCAAAATGTCCATCAAACGCCTCACATTTTGTTATTTCTTCGTTTGCATATCAATCACTTCCTATTCTCGTTCTCTCCGATTTTCTCAACCTTCTGCTAAACATTTCACTTTTGACTGGTGATATATACTACCTATATCTGTCGACATCAGTAGCACACACCGGAGTATCAATGACAGTAAAACAAACCAAACATAACATATTTTAGCGCATGCAGACTCAACAGCTATATGTAAAAAGCATTGTATTGTCGAAATGTAACAGTATAATTATCCTATTGAATCAATTTCAAGAATCTTATCTATTTGCACTCAACATTAATATGATTTGTAAGTCATACCTACTTGAATTAATTTAATTACTGATTCATTTAAATGTTAGTCTAGTTTTCACTTTATTTATTTGAACACATAAATATTGGTACAAAAGGGCACCGAATACATATGCGTTACACAAGTCACTTGATTTGTGTGTGGACTATGATACTTCCCGGGTGCCCCAAACCGAAGCAGATGGTTTTCTTAGGGAGGCCACACCTAGAGCCTTCGACCTAAAGATCTGATCCACAAGGCAGTGGCACAACGTTGGGAGATGCAGTCTCATGGCAACCAGTGACCAACGATTGGTTTACACATAGTTTGTTCCTTCAGGATACTGGGGCCCATGTGATTATAATTATTTGTAATTCATGAATTTAAATAAATGTCTAAATTTCTTTTCAATATTTCAGATGATAGTTTTACTAAGAAACGAAATGAGATAAATCAGTCAAGGTCAACTCATACTTTAAACTCTTAATTAATCAGTTATATTCATCATTTAATTTTGTATGGTTCTTTGAAGAATTCCAGCAACAACAACAAAATGAGAAACAGAACATACCACTTAGAATACATGATTGATGTACTGAACATTTTTCTCTCTCCTTATTTAATCCAAAGAGATAGTTTTAAAAAAGTTTTTGTTTTAATCTTCTTATTAGTGTATGAAGACATTTTTAAACATTAAACATCATCAACGCAGAATCTGGCATGTATCTGTATTAATCCAAGTTGATAAATAGTATTAGCATAGTTGAAATCATGAGTCAATTGAAGCTAGATCACTATGGAAAACATGGAAGCACTAAACGGCCGTTTCGTCCTGTTGTGGGACTCCTCAGCAGTGCGCATCCACGATCCCACCTCGCGAGATTCGAACAAAGGACCTATCAGTATCGCGCCAGAGCACATAACCGATAGACCATTGAGCCGGCCGGCATCCGACGGTGTTAATGTCTAACTTTAACCGATCCACGAAGTTCAGCAACCGTTCACCAACTGTCTTTAGTGAGTTGATATCTCACAACAGACGTGGTTGAACTCCTAAGTCATCAGTTTCAGTATTACTTGATATTTCCTTATTTACAAAATAAAAGTGTTCTACACAACGATATTCTCTAAATGTACTTCTGTTTACTATCATTCATAAGACTTTGTTTCTTACTTTTTTGTATTTTCGATTCAATACCTTTGTGGAGTTCAACCACGTCTGTTATGAGATATCAACTCACTGAAGACAGTTGGTGAACGGTTGCTCAAACTTCTTGGATTGTTCGAAGTTAGACATTAACACCGTCAGATGACAGCCGGCTCAATGGTCTATCGGTTAAGTGCTCTGGCGTGAGACTGATAGGTCCTGTGTTCGAATCTCGCGAGGTGGGATCATGGATGCGCACTGCTGAGGAGTCCCACAATAGGGCGAGTTGGCTGTCCAGTGCTTCCAGGTTTTCCATGGTGGTCTAGCTTCAATCGACTCATGATTTCAACTATGAAAAATACTGAAATCTCCACAAAACTCCTTCTGATTATAAAATTACGAATTGAGAAATACATATATATATATATATATATATATATATATATATATATATATATATATATATCTACGTACATACTTAGTTTCAAACAAACTATGCTTTGTGTATATAAAAAATAATGAAGGATATATTTTACATTATAAGTCAATCTCAAAATCTTCAATTTTTAAAGGCCTTTTTAAAATATTCTCACTATCTGTTATTAGCGCATTAAAACCAAATGAGATAATATCATCATTATCATTCTTATCTTTATTATTATCATCCATTGAACATTGAATATTCTGTACTGTATTATTGGATGGATCTATGGAGGACATTGACAAATCATTATTTGAAATATTGAATGAATTAGAAGATAAATGTTTACTCCATAAAGGTTTATTCATGTTCATATCAATATTAGTATTTAAAATTTGATTATCAGTAGTATTGATGGTAGTAGTATTGTTACTAATATCAACAGAATGATTTAATGTTGTCCATTTGAAACTTTTAGTTGTTGGAATCATGAACAGATTATCATCATTTTGAGTAACTGATACAGGGGAACACTTATTATTATTATTATTATTATTATCATCATGAGGAAATGTTCGTTTATAAGATGTCATACTGTGACGTTGTCCGCTATCCTTCAAACGACCATCATTATTATTAGTTATAAGTTGAGTTGAACTAAGTAGAGGTTCTAATTGAACCTTTTTATAAGTATTCGAAGGATCTTGTTTAAATTTATTCAGATAACCATTATCATTATCAATATTGGCAGTATTATTATTATTATTTAAAGTAGACATTACTAATTTCTCAATTTGTAAATAATCAACACTAGCATTCTCTGGTATATTCATTGAAACAACCAATTCAGGTGAGATAGATTTTGATAATGAACAATTATTTAAATGAGATTGATTAGGTTTAATAGAACTAGTAGAATAAAGTGAACAATCAACTAGATAGATGACGACGATAGCATCCTAAAAATGATAGGAAAAAAGAGATACATGGATAAAGAATACTATCAATGTCAGTCAGTCAGCTAAAACGTAGGACCAGGCACACATATGCATAGGTCTAAGTTGTCATACTTCGTTAGCACAACAAGATGAACACCGTATTCATAAAAGTAGTTAATTTAGTGGGGGGGTGGTAGTATAAAAAAGATAGGTTGTATATAAGGATATAGTATAGGAAGGAAGAAAGTTATGAAGCAATTTTAATCTCAAGGTTAAAGAGTGTATACACCGATATACTATCAATGTAAACAACCGAACAACCATATTATGTATTGTAAGCAAAGATAGATGGTGGCTACCAGTGGAATCTAGGATGCGCGTTTCGTCCTATTTAGGACTCGTCAGCTGGATGTACCTGCATAGGACGAAACGCGCGTCCTCAATCCCACTGATAGCCACCATCTATCTTTGCTTATAATGCTTGTGACTTATGGTAATATCGAGGTAATCTGCAAAGGATGCGCATATGTCAATTGCATTAATGGGAGAATTCAAACCAACAGTACATATGGGATATCATTGGGGTTAAATGCATTGAATGAGAAAACAACCGACAAATGTATTTTTGCCATACTTATCATAACAGAAAGGGTAAGAAGTTGGGATTACTAACCGAATACATAGACTGATTTTTAACCAGATTAACTAGAGTTTACATCCATAACTCATTTGTTTAAAAGTCAAGCTCCTTAATCAATAACTCATAATTCGTAGGGAATCATCTTGCATTGTCTTTCTGTTATAAATAATTGATGGAATTTCACCACCTATAATGATAATGATGACTGCTAATTCATGGTTCTTCGAAGCTTGAAAATATTGACGTATCCATGATTTACAAGGTAAGAATTAAGCGTCTTAGGATTGAATTCAGTTGGTGAATAAGTTCACTGATGAAACTTATCATATTCTGACAAAAACTCTTCTGTTGGTCAGTCATTTTATCTTTTTATAACAGTTCAGTTAGAAGGGAATGAGTGTTTTAAATCACCCATGTCAGTATTGCCCATCAATTGGACATATTATATTACACTAAGTCATTTCTCACGATCGTCCACGTGACTATCGTAACCAATGGTTGGAGACTTTAGGTGACATGGCTCAGAATCGATCACAATGGCGTAGGTGTATACACTCTTTATCTTTCCTTAAATCTTGAGATTAAAATTGCTCCATAACTTTCTTCCTTCCTATACTATATCCTTACATACAATCTATCTTTTATATACTATCACCACTAAATTAACTACTTCTATGAATCCCGTGTTCATCTTGTTGTGCTAACGAGGTATGGCAACTTGGACCAATGCATAAATGTGCCTGGTCCTACGTTGTAGCTGACTGACTGACTGAGATCATTTCTCAACTAGTAGTAGGTACTTTGCTTATCGTCCAAAATGCGTTTATCAAAATGTTACGTCCTTGAATCTGTCTACCCACTTAGTGCCGAGTATAACGTAGATTAAGACCTTGACACGATAGGCTGACTGGCTTAACCTTGAGGCTAATATGCGTGAGTTCGAAGTGGGGGTAGAGAGACGAAAACTATTCTATCCCTGATTGGTCGGCAAGCACGCGAGAGAGAGAGAGAGAAGACAAAGACAGCTGGAACACTAATCACTTTATTCCAACCCCGATCTAGCACTCGAATTCCCAATTCCGATTAGGGTGAAAAGTTACATGAATAAATAGATGAATAGGCTGACCACAACGAACAATATTTAGGAAAATACAATGATGTCCAAAACGGGGATTATAGTAGAAAATAGGGTACAAAAGATTACGTCTAAATGACAATAGCTTTAGAACAGAAAATGCTATGGCAATGAATCATACATCAAACGAAAGCTTATGATCTGTAGAATAGGTTAGGGACAAAAATAAATGTTACAGTTTTACAAGCTTTTGATTAAATGAATTAACGTCCCCAAAAATAGCATCCGTAATTTATTAAGGCTTCTTGTTTTGCGGTTCACATCACAAAATAAATTGTAAAATCAACCTATACAATACAATGTTTGAAAAGTGTTTATTATTATTATCTATATAGTTCTTTGTAATAGTGAAGAGTTGGAGTTTTCGAATAGTTTGTAAGTGTTCTGTTCTCTGGATTAGGATAGGTGGTTTCATTGTGATGTTTTAATATGAAAGCACTGACAGAACAACAATTAACTCTCATATCAACAAAATAAGTTGTGGATCACAAATATAGAAGAATTCTAACAAATCACAGGATTTCTCAAATGTGCATACTAATAATGTTGTCTAGAAGGATAACAGGTTTTTAAATATACTTCAGTTATGTGAAAGCTAGTAAGTGATACTTCCCAGATGTCTAAACCAACGTAGACAGAGCGAATTTTTAAACTAACGACCTATGGACACACTAACTAATTTTTTAAAGTTATTTCTTTAGAGACTTCGGTCCCCACCCAATCTATCACTTGGTTGTTTCAAACGAATAAGCTGTTAGCTTCACGTAGAATGAAGAGATGTATAACAGTGGAGTTACTTTAACGCATTAGTTGACACACACAACACAATAGAACCATTCACAAATAATTAATAATCCTTATGGAAAAGCGCAAAGACTGTTTAAAACATAATATCAATGAAAGTACTTCATCGCCAGATTCAATTTACAATATTATAATAGTATTCATAATAACAAATCTTACTTCAATAGTAGCCTCATTTCGACACATTAATCGAGCATGTGCTTTGGTTAATCTAACAAGACTTTCCAATAAACGTAAGGTTCGTCTACTGAATGCACCAGCCAGTAAATCATTACAAAAATTAGACATTTGACTTCTTTGCCAGACATAATAACGTTGAAGTAGATTAGCTGCTTCTAAAGACAATTGTGGTGTGAAACGATCACGAATCCATACAAAATACTCTTTTAAATCATTTTTAGA